CCCCCCCCCCCCCCCCCCCCCACTGAGCTCCTTTCCCTTGACATACTATTCAACAACCTCGAAAGTGTAAATCTGGTTAATGCTGGAGTTCATTCAAGTCTTCTCTTTAATTAAGCAGCGCGCTCAACATCACTCCATCTCCTCCTCACCCAAGAGAAATGCAAGAAGTGACATCAGGAAGGAGAGAGAAAACTGGGGGGGGGGGGGGGGGGTCTGGGGTTTGGTTTTTTTTTTCTTCTTTCCCAGACAACACCTCTATGACGTGGTGGTGCAGAGTGTTTCGGCGTGCCCGCGCGTGCACGTGTGTGTGTTAATTGCCTCCGGAGAGTGTGGTGTCCGTACTAATGTTAGATCTCCTCAATCAGCCTACATGTGCGCGCTTCACAAACTGCTGCAGCCCCCTCCGTCCGCACCGACATTCATGCGATGCACAATTATGCCCGAGCTCTCTCTCTGCCACTTTTTCCTCCATGCACCGACTGTGCAGAAGAAGAAGAGAGGACGGCGACAGGACAAATAGGCAGAGAGGGGGGAGGGGGGGAGGCAGGAGGGTAAGGCCATAAATCTGTTTTGAGGCGGGAAAAAAATGGAGAAAGTGAAAGATTTTAGAAAGTGAGTCCAGCACACTCACTGTGAGGGTAGTTACAGTGTGATGCTCTCTCTTGTCTAGTAATGGAAGGAAAGGCGGGGGGGGGGGGGGGGGGGGGGGGGGGGGAGGAGAGCATGTGTAACGGGGGAGGGGGTGAGGAAGAGCATTAAAAAGGAGAGTGCACTATAAAAGTGAATGAATTCTGCTGCAGTAAAAAGCCAGAGTTATTTGCGCACGCTCTCTCTCTCCCTCCCTCTCTCAGATTGTTTGCCTCTGGGCTGCTTTGCCATTCGGGATGGGGTGAACTGGGGGGGGGGGGGGGGGGGTCTCACAATGCTTCAGAATAGACACTGTTTCCCGTGAAGGGAGAAGAAAATGGGCACAAGCACGCACTATATTTATGTTGTGAACCTTTTTCTCTACTCAAAGAAATGCACCACTATCCTCCTCCTCCTGCTGCTGCTCCTGCTCCTGCTCCTGCTCCCCCTCCTCTTCTGTGAGCTCTGACTGCCCCCTTCTCCCTCCCTCCCTCCCTGCTACTACCTTTCCTTCCCTTCCTTTCCTCGCTCTTCCTTCGCATAAAGGAGTGAAGAAGTGGAGTCAAGCCTCTTCTTTCTCTCCCCTCCAACAGCCATGTCTTCTTTTATCTTTCTGCTCGCTCCAGCTTCACCCCCCCCCCCCCCCCCCCCCATCCCGTTCACTCTCTTCTCCCTCATCCTCCTCCTTTATACAAGTCCTCCTTTTCCTCCTTCATACTTTCTCTCTCTGTGTGTGTCATGTGGCAGACTGTATTTACGTTCTTGGTCATACTTTTGAAGAGTTTTATTGGGGGGAAAGTTTGCCAACTCTTAGGTTCTTTTTTTGTTTGTTTGTTTTGTTTTATTTTAGTGAGTGAGAGAATCTCCTTTTCCTCCCTCTTTGTTAAGATCCAGGAAAATAGAATATGGCAGCACACAGGTAAGCCTAACAGCGTAGCTACTGCATGGGTTAAACAAAGCACGATCTGTGCATGAGAGACTGAAAACTTGCCTCCTTTGTGGACCTTACATTAGTGAAAAGGGGGGGGGGGAATAGAAAAAAGTAAAAAAAAAAAACTGCTGTAATTTTTTTTAATTTTTAAGTGTTCTGCTGCATCATATTTGCTTGCTTGAAACATATAAAAGCCGTACTGTGAGTTTAAAGACATGCAAAGCTACTAAGTCGCTTGTAAATTGCTTAAAATAAAATGTTAGGAAAGTTTGAAATTGTAGAAATGTCCTGCAGTGGCAGCGCGTGGCAGGTTTCAGCACCACGGACAGCGCTCCCTCCGTCTCTTCGGGATGCTGAACTTTTCAGAAGCAGCTCCCGTGAACTCACCGATGCTTTAAATAACTTTTTTTTACTTTAACTTCTGGTTTAACTTTGTAGCCCTGCACTCTAACGTGCATCCCATCAGTGTGGTCGCAGCTTCGTGGATGAACTGCTGAATATTTTATACACAGACAGCCACAAGTCTGTAACTGCAGTCTATTTGTTCCTCCGTGGTCTAGTGTGGTGGGATTATTGATTATATAAATTTACTCAGCATTGATGTTCATTTGATTTGTAGAGGAAGAAGTCAGGATATTTCTGTCGTTACTTTGAAATAACATAAAATTCGGTTTTATGTGGAAAAATCTTTTAAAATGGCAGCAGTGTTCACAGTACTACTTGGTGTACTAGCTGCAGTATGCAACTTAATACAGGGGGGAAACTGCATGCACCTTAGCTCTAAACCCGTTCACTGCAGCACAGTGATACAGCTGAAGATAAAAAAGGAGCGCAGTATGGGGGGGGGGGGTATGGGGGGGGGGGGGGGTGTTAAGGTTAAAGAAGGTGAGATTCGGTTAAAATGGAAGGAAGTTGGAAACGAGAAGTTGAGAACAGAGGAAGAGGATCCAACAACAAAAATGGGAGATGAAGGTGAGGACGGTGCAGACTAGCAGAGCAGAGGTACAATCCCTCCCCCTAACCCTCCCTCCCTCAAGCATCACCACTTTCTCCCTCCTGCAGCATTTCCTGCCTCGGCCACCATGTCCTGCGCCACCTATACTGCCTCACCATTGCACAGATACACAAGTGGGGAGAAAACAAGAAGTAGGGCTGAGAGGGGGGGGGGGGGGGGGCACATGTCTCACCTGGCTAAAGCTAAAAGAAGCTCTGATGATTAACTCAAATGAACCGTTAGAAGTCAGGTGGTCGTGTCTGCAGTGGGGTTATGGACCCGGAGCTCCGGGAGGGGAGAAGAAGGAGCGCAGAGCAGAGCTCGTGCACCACACTGAGGCTAATATATATTAGCAGAAACACTGCAGCAAGAGGGGGGAGGGAGCGCGAGATTATGGGATGCTGTGAGGTACCAGCAGCAGTGTCCGTAGGGAGGGGAGGGGAGAGGAGGAGCGCGCGCTAAAGAAGGAAAGGAGGAGGAATTTAGAGGAGTGCTGACTATGCGGAACAGAAGCAGCAGTTGGCAGAAAAAGAAAAAAAGTACCAATCACGGGGAGGGGGTAGGGGGGGGGGGGGGGGGGTAGGAGAGAAAAATAAGGAGATGAGATAGCTAAAGGAGAGCGAGGGTAACATTAAAGTGACTGCACCTGCATGTGGAGGTGAGGAGCTGGGGAGGGCGGGGTAATATATGTTTGTGCACACATTACGTCTGCACTCCTGGTGCACAGACTGTTCTCCCCCCTTCACCACCCGCTACTGTACCTCATCAAAGGATGTAACCACAAGGCTTCACACTGTTTCTCCACCCCCACCCCCACCCCACCCCCACCCCCCATCTCTCTTTCCCAGTGCTGAGGAGACCCCAGCAGGAGAAAACGGAGCACTGCAGCGAGGCGAGAGGACTGCGGTCGCCTCCCCTCTCAGTGCGGTGTCACACCGCAACGTGTGCCTCTCCCCCTCCCCTCTCTGTGTTCTTTCAGGAGAGGAGAAGCCAGGTAACACGCGCGTGGTGTACTGGGCAAGAACAGACTGGATAGGATTAAAATGGACCACTTCTGAAATAGGGCCTGAAAATGGATTTACTAGCACTTTATAAACAGGTTATTTATGTTTGTAAACTCTTTATAAAGCAGTAAGAATCGTTTATAAGACACTGCTCATACACTGAAGCAGACTCGCTATTTGACAAGCTCAGGGGATGTTTGTTTATTCAGGCAAATGTAATTTATTTGCTCATTTTACTTTCTTGAACTAAATAATGTTACTTTGCCAAGCAACATGTGCATCTGCGAATGCTCGGGTGCAGGTAACATATTGATAAATGTTTGAGATTTAAAACCTAAATCATGACAAAATGAATAAAAGTGCAGTATTTTGGAGTCTGCATCATATGAACAATGTTTTATCAATGATTGTTAATGTTTATTATATATTAACAAACTTGTATCTCAAATAAAACACATTAATAAACCTTTGACTAAGAGGTTCTTATTAAGTGAACCAATGTGAGTGACTAAAATAACTCAGTGGGTGGAAAATGTAAAACAAAATTCTGAGCAAACAGATTTTTAAGTTCTCAAACTCAAGGATAAAAAAAAAACAACCTTTTCTCAGTTGAAACAAACAATTAAACTTGATGGTGTCCAAGTCCCAGAGCACAAGTTTAA